AAAAAAAAAAAAAGCTTGACTTCACACACCAGCAATGTTCGACTTTCCAACTACATTGTCAAACTACAGCTAACGCTGGACATGGAGAAGAAGAAGAGGAGGAGAGGAGGAGGGAGAAGAAGAAGAGGAGGGGAGGAGGAGGAAGAGGGAGGAGAAGAGGAAGTAGAAGAGAGACTTAGAGAGGAGAGGTGAAGAAGGTGGAGAAGGTAGCGAAGAGGAGGAGAGGAGAAGGAAGAAGAAGAAAACGAGGAGGAGGAAGAATAGGAAGGTTAGAGGTACGAAACCCTAACGAAATTTCAAGAACTGTGCTTTCAGAGGGGACGGGAAGAAGAGGAGAAAAACAAAAACGATTTTCCAAGCGGGAGAGGAGGAGGAAGAAGAAGAGGAGAAAAACAAAAACGATTTTCCAAGCGGGAGAGGAGGAGGAAGAAGAAGAGGAGGAGGAGAGGAGGAAGAAAAAGAGGAGGAGAGGAGGAACGAGGAGGAGAAGAGGAGAAGAGGAAGAAGAAGAGAGACTGAGAGAGGAGAGGTGGAGAAGAGGAGGAGAGGAGAAGGAAGAAGAAAACGAGGAGGAGGAAAAATAGAAAGGTTTGAGGTACGAAACCCTAACGACGTTTCAAGAACCGTGCTTTCAGTGGGGACGGGAAGACCAGGAGGGGAAAAAAAAACGATTTTCCAAGCAGGAGAGGATGAGGAAGAAGAAGAAGAGGAGGAGAGGAGGAACGAGGAGGAGAAGAGGAGAAGAGGAAGAAGAAGAGAGACTGAGAGAGGAGAGGTGGAGAAGGTGGAGAAGAGGAGGAGAGGAGAAGGAAGAAGAAGAAAACGAGGAGGAGGAAGAACAGAAAGGTTAGAGGTACGAAACCCTAACGAAATTTCAAGAACCGTGCTTTCAGTGGGGACGGGGAGACCAGGAGGGGAAAAAGAAAAATGATTTTCCAAGCGGAAGAGGAGGAGGAAGAAGAAGAAGAGGAGAGGAGGAAGAAGAAGAGGAGGAGAGGAGGAGGAAGGAGGAAGAGAAGAAGAGAAGCGGAAGAAGAAGAGAGACTGAGAGGAGAGGTGGAGAAGAGGAGGAGAGAAGAAGGAAGAAGAAAACGAGGAGGAGGAAGAATAGAAAGGTTAGCGGTACCAAACCCTAACGAAATTTCAAGAACCGAGCTTTCAGTGGGGACGGGAAGAAGACGAGGAGGAAAAAAGAAAACGATTTTCCAAGCGGGAGAGGAGGAGGAAGAAGAAGAAGAGGAGGAGAGGAGGAAAAAGAAGAAGAGGAGGATTGGAGGAAGAAGAAGAGGAGGAGCGAAGGGAAAAAAAGAAGAGGAGGACTGGAGGAAGAAGAAGAAGAGGAGAGGAAGAGGAAGAAGATGAAGAGGAGAAGAGGAGAAGAGGAAGAAGAGAAGAGAGAGAGAGAGAGAAGAGAGGAGGAGGAGAAGAAGAAATGGAGGAGAGGAGAAGGAAGCAGAAGAAGAGGAAGAACACAAATGGTGAAGGAGAAGAAGAGGAGGGAAAAAAAAAAATCGGGCCAGGCCTTCCCGATGTACTTCCTCCGTCAAGGCAGGGGCGGCAACACGAAGCAGAGATATGGAGGGGCGGCTTCATCAGGCGTGGCGATGCAGGCGCAGCTTCAACCCAGGGTGCAGCTGGAGACATTCGCTCCACTCTGCGAAACTCCATCGGGAAGGCCCTGCCGACGGTCGGGAAGCCGACGGCGCGCTACCGTCGGTAGAAGTCCGTCGGGAAGGCCGACGGCGCGCTACCGGCCCAGCAGGCCCCGCCAAATTTTTTTTTTTTTTTCTGCGGGGTGCCTACCAGTCGCCGACCGGTCGGCGCCAACGGCGCCTACCGTCGGCTCGTCGGCCGCCGACCGTCGGTGTGACTACCCTGCTGGTCAGACTAATTTGAATTTGTGCCATGGGTTATCTAAGATTTGCCTGTCCTCTTCTCCTACTACTTTGGACCATCTTCTCGACATTGTCGGCTTGGGCTCCTCTGTTTAAAGTAGATGACTGTATCCTTAACTCCAGAGGCACTCCCTAATCCCTTCCCCCCCCCCTCTCTCTCTCTCTCTCTCTCTCTCCCTCTCTCTCTCTCCCTACCTACCTACCTACCTACCGCGCATCCCATTTTCGCTTGCAATCATCCCGGCAATTATAAAATTTTGGAAGCGCGACTTTTTATCCCTCTCGGTTCTACCTAGGAGTTAGCACGATAGAGAGGGTCGGCTAGCAGTGTACGTTTGAGGATGAGCATGAGTGTGAGCGAGCGGGTCAAGAACGACGAAAGGCCTTTTTTTTTTTTTTTTGACAGACAATGCTCCAATCTATTAGCAGGTTGCAACACATGCTGGGAACCGGGCCCAGCGTCCCACGGCAAATTACAAAACCATTTAAGATACCGGGGCCAAAACCCTCGGGTCTTTAGGTGTTCAGATGGTTTCTGTGAACTTCTGTGGATTTCAGAATGAGTCTAGTTAACCAAAGTTAACTCGAAAAAGGGATGCCTGCGGTTTTCTGAGTACTGCAGTGTTTCTATCATCTGCTTTTCTCAGCCGAAGCCAGGTAAATGGCCCCCGTACCTCAAATTGTTCAATATACATTTCATATGGAATGCTGGGCCTGGTTCCTAGCACGTCTTGCTCTCCACAAATAGATTGGAGGTGTGTTCCCATTAAAAAAAAAGGGGTTAAGAGTCCTCCATTGAAATAAATTGTTGGCTACTCTTAGCCTTCCTTTGCTGTCTTTTATGGATATAGTAGGGTCAGTAAGGTCATTAATGTTTGACCAGCTGTTTGGTTTAATCATTAATGTGTGTGTGGAGTTCATGATCTGTCCTCCTAGCTCTGGTTTGGAGGCCTCTTAGCTCCCCATAAGGCTAATTCCTCTATTGCTGTATGCAGTGTGTTTGTGTACAGCTCAGATGAGGGATTATCACATCACTTATGTTGACTACTACGACCTTTAGGGCTGCCTCCAGAGCCTTGTTCCTGAGTGCTACCTTCTTCCCCCGACTAGAACGTGCGGCCATTGTCGCTGCATCTGGACAGAAAGGTGAGCCACATATGGTTATAGTGGCCGTATGTTATACTCGGGGGAAGATGGCAGGTAAATTGTCCCAAAACCATGGCCACCCATTTTGGTTGTGTATAAATCCAGCATTATACCTTCTTTGGATTCTTCCACCTTTCAACACCTCTCACTGATCCAGTCATTCCTTCTTCTGTCCTTTCCTTTTCCTTGTTAAAGCTTGTTTCCTTTTTTCCCTTTCTTTTAAAAGGGTGACGGCCTTGAGTATCATCTTCAAACTTACCAGCCCCAGGTAAATTCAGAGTTGCTTACTCATCTGGGTTGAGTGGGATTTGAAGTGCGGTCTGTTCTTCGACAGTTCAAGGGTGTACTAACTCATCTAGGCCCGTCGGTTATCAGTGATCCGGCCAGGTTATCCAAGATTCAGGCAAACCAAGAATGCAGCTGTTTTACCCAGCCCCTGAATGGTAACACATCTAACTTTTGATAAACAGGTCATGAGTTGATTCGAACTGAGGTCTGTTCTTCGACAGTTCAAGGGTGTACTAACTCAACTAGGCCCGTCGGTTATCAGTGATCCGGCCAGGTTATCCAAGATTCAGGCAAACCAAGAATGCAGCTATTTTACCCAGCCTCTGAATGGTAACACATCTAACTTTTGATAAACAGGTCATGAGTTCGAGTCCTGTGGAATCAGCCTTCAATCAGGTATAGATACAGTAGTGTCAGGGGCTGCCCACCTTTCAAAAAAATGCAGCTGCTGGTGCTGCAATCCAAACCCACAGTGCAGCTGATACAGTCTTGTTTTTCACTATAAGGGGCCACCCTTGTTTTTTACTAAAAGGGGCCACCCTTGAATTCGTTGGTTGCTAGCTATGCGAGACGGAGATCAAATCATCGTCATTCACTGGGGTGGTAACATGGCATTGAATTTCCTAATCATCTTTATGAAGTTTAATAGTTTATGTTAATTACTGGATGAATGCCAATCAGCATGCATGGTCTCACACCACTGACAATGTTCTTTTCCCCCATTTACCGCAGGATACCATTACCTTCATGTCCCAACCGTCGGTGATGGAGGCATTGCTTCTCCTTCTCGATCATTCCTCCACAGCTGTTGTGGCAGCAGTCCTCGGGGTACTTACCAATCTTTCTGTGAACACAAATGCTCGCCGGCGACTACTCAACATTGGTGGCACGGAAAAGCTGATTCGCTCAGTGGGAAGATGGCTCGATCTCGATGTTGGTTTGGTGCTAGAGGAACGGGAGGACAACGAGGAAGAAGAAGAATATGACATGGCTGCAAGCTTTGCCAATTTTGCCTTGATGTTGCCTGAGGGTCAAGGCGATGATGGGTGTCAGAGCATTCTCGAAGATGAAGTGCGAAGAGAGGGCAATGGGACTCCCGCTGGCGACATTCTTCCTGCAGAAACAGAGAAAACTATGTTTACGTCCTCTGGTTTTTGCAATGACAGATTTACAGAGTGTGGGAGGGACCAATTCAGGTCGGTGCATACAGGTCCCATTCCTGTTACTCAAGAGGGTTTCTGTAACACATTGCAAAGGAGTGGGGACAGAGTGGGGGGCATCGGTCATGGCACTTTTACTCACCGGATGGAGGAACCCGCTCGCGGAGAGGCAGCCTCCCACTCCTATGCTTGTGCGGATTCAGATGACGATCCTTTCAACAACAAGCATATTCCCCACGAGGCATGCCGACTGTCTGGGTGGAAATTTGGACAGCATACATGGGGAGGAATCACAAATAACAGGACACACTGCGATAACGAGATTGGCAGCGAGAGGTACGGAACCAATGATGATGGTAACGGTGCCGGTGGTGGTGGTGGTGGTGGTGGTGATGGTGGCGGTAGTCACGATGATGACGATGAGAATGTTCTTGAAAGAAGTGATGCGAAAATGGGTGAGACACTTGAAGTTTCTGCTACTAACGGGAGTGGACAAGACAGAAAGACCTCAGACGACCAAGAAAAGGAGAAGAGAGGACAGATATCTGTCCTTGGCGGTCAGCATAGCAATGTGATTTTCAGGCAAGACAATGTTCAAACTCTCAGAATGGAGACCTGTATGTCTGCAGATGAGTCCAACCCATCTCGAGGGCATCTACTTAGAAATCATAGGGGGGAAGCCAATGGCAAGAGCACTCGAGTTACGGAAAGGTCCTGTTCTGTTTCGAAACAAGCCTGCAATAATTCTGAACATCCTGAACGAGACGGCAATCGCAAAAATAAAAGCAACAGAAACAGAGCTCCAAAGTTTGCAACATCTGGGAATGAGCACCATGTGGGAGCATCTGAGCAGCTGAAGAATTGCAGGCTGTCTACGTATAATGGAGGGAAACAGGCCCAGGTGCTGGCAGGAGATCAGGGCATCACACACTTGGGCATTGATAAAATGTCAGGACGCTCACCAGGTGTTGCAATCCAATCTAAGACGAGCCCTCATCGAAAGGGCAACTCTGGAGGGAAAGAAGGCAGTTGCCATGTTCAGAGGAAAGCGGGTGAAGGGCAACATTATAAAACATTGCATGAACGTCACTTTAGACCCCAAAGAACAGCAGCAGAGTGCAACAGCACAGGAGATGGATTGAATGGTCAGACAAGCAGAGAATTAACAGATGAGAATGCAAAGGAAAGTGACGGCCAGAGGGATAGAGGCACCTGTGTTACGGACTATGGAAGTATGCTAGGTGGCACAGCCGATCATCATCGACATCACAAGGATCATCGCTGTGACAATGTGGACGTGAGTCGTAAGGTTCGCGGAAAGGACAGGGATCTAAGAGAGCGGGGACTGATTCGTGTATCCACTTCTGTAAAACCGGCAACGAATGTTGTAGGCCATCATGTGCTGACTCGCAGCGATAGTATGAAGAGAAGTCGGCAGACTCCATCTGGAATTCAAACCCCATCGATGAGCATGTGCCTTGAGAATTCAACCCGAGAAAGACACACAAGTGCAAAGTGGCATGAAAACGAGGTCAGCAATCATCATGGACGCTGGTTAAATGGAACGAAGCAATCAGCGGATGGTCCCCTAAAGCAGGAAGCATGCATGTGGTATTGGAGAGGGCGGACGTGCCTGTGGTCATTGGCAGCTGCAGCGTGTAAAGTGCTGTATAATGTGTTTGCACAAGGAGGTAGTAGGGGCTCCTCTTGTCTAGCTGGCAATCCTACAATGGAAGGGTTGAAAAACACCGAGCAGGACAGTGAAGGAACCGCAAAGCTGGGAAACCTTGTCATCTTGGGAGGTAAAGAGGCTTCCAGCTCTCCAACTTCTTTTGATTTGTCGGCATGCGAATCACTCACATCATATCAAGAATCCAAAATCAACTCTCTTCAGAACAAGGAGGTGAGAGTGCTGGTTGAGCTCCTCACATGCGCTATGCGGTATATTCAGCAGGTAGGTAGAGAAGACACTGTTCCTCGTCTCCCCACTGCTACCAGTGACTCCTTTGGTGGCACTGAGCCAGGAACAGCTGCAAATCGTGAGGCTGACGAGGATGGCAAATGCCAAATTATCATTCAGAGGCCTGATTTCCACAGTGCCGCAGAATCAAGGAGTTCTAAGGAATGCCCCTTGATCCAGAAGCAACCCCAAGAGGTGGCTTCATCCATGGAAAACCCTGCATCTGTCTCCTTTGCTTCCCACACAAATGCAGATCAAGGTAACATCAACCAAAGCTATGCCCCCTTCTGTACTTTGCAATCCACCAATAGCCTTTCAGAATCCCGCAGGCAAAGACGAAATTGCCCTGAGGGGTCTATTGAACAGGATTCCCTGGCAACAAATGCTCAACTAAATCAGATGATGGTAGAGCCTGAGAGCTTCCTCGTGGACGACGTTCAGCTTCAGCCAAAGCCAGTGCAGAAGGCTGACTGCGGCATTTTGAAGCAGCACAGCACCAAGGCTTGCAAAGCATGGCAGGCCAGGGCAGTGCGGGATCCAGTTATGGAAAACCACTGTGAAGGCTTCCCCAACTTGAATGCTCCAGCTATGGAGTTGTTTCCTCCCACTCCTCCTCCTCCTCCTCCTCCTCTGACAATGACTAGCGAGAGGAGAGCCGGCACTAAACATGTGCCGCATAGCTCAAATGATTCTGATAGAACACAAAAAAGTCTACACAAACCATTGTGGTTTGAACCTTGTGGAAGTATTGACAAAGACAGAGGTGAGTTTCTTAGGATAGCAAGCAGATTGATTAAGCGTCTGCGAACGATTGGTTGATTGACTTGATGATTGAAGAGTGAAGTCACTGCACCATCTTCAAGGGAGAGGCGATGTGTGACACAGCCAGCTGATCTTCTCTGCCATCCTCTCTCTCTTTCCCACAATGAGGGACCAATGCGTATGTGTAATTAATGCTGTCGGTGAATCCCCGTTGTCCTCGTCATGCTGGTGATTACCAGTGTCAAGGAGGAGTGGTGCTGCTTATGGTCACGGTTCCTATCAGTTGAACCACCGAAATGAGGATATCCAAAATGCTCCACCCTTGCCATCTGCCACAGTGTTTTCACGGAACCGGAACCGCTTCGCATAAATCAACACGGCAACTTTTGTTCCCATTGGTTGGGAGCAATTGCAGTAAGTGGCAGTTGGTCAAAGGAACAATTGAGCAATCGTCCACAGGAGAAAACAGGAAGGTAACAAGCTGCAAAGGGAGGCCATATTCATCCTGACACATTTGTCTATATTAGTATATACTATATTCAGAGGATTCCTTTTTGTTCCTCTTCGTTTTTGGTTCCTGTCGGGTATTTCATGCCTTCCACAGCGTGCAGTTGCCGAACCCATGTGATCAATCACACCTTCCCCCAAATGTTCCCTCTGACAGATGCGCTTGCATATGGTATCACGCTAAGAAAAATGGGTTTGGTGGGTCTCATCACCTGGAGATCCGGTTTGACGGGCCAACTGGAGGAGGTGTCCTGTCCGTTCTTGTGTGACAATATCTACGCCTTTTGTCCACTGACCATAAGGGTCATCCATTCATTTGTTGCGATCAATGGAACGACCCCAACTGGGGCGTAAAGGACCACTACCTTTGCCATACATCGGCCGCGGGTGAGGTCCCGTGAGGTTCGGAGGCCGGTAAGGAAACAAAGGCCGCCAATGAAGTTTATCAACGGCAGCCAAACGGCGGCCCGGTCCCCGAAAAATGCGGTATATGTTATATTCCCACTTGGGACTCCAGCTTGAAAGGTAGTAGCAGTTTAAGGCGAACCTGGCTACCTCTATTCTGCAGAGCGTCAGTCCAGTTCCTATTCCTCCGGAAAGGCAACGATCTGAGTACAACCCGTCAACACTCTTCCCCAAGTTACGGCCCGGGGAACCCTGACGGTATTGATTGCTTCCCTCAGGGAAGGATTGAATATCAGTCAAGCCCATGCTTTTATTCAAAGCCCCTCCCTCTAGCAATTCCCCCCCCCCCACAGATAAAACATACTTAAAACTGAATCCAATAACTTCTTTCAACTGCACATAGTTGACCCTACTTAAACCCTAAACCCTATAGCATCTCTGTTGTCCGTGTTTCATTTACACTTCAACTGATCCTGAGGCATTGATTGCTCCCTGATTGGGACGATACACCTCTGCTCCCTCCTGCTCCTCCTGCCTTCCTCCCTTTTAAAATCCAGTTGTTATCTTTCTAGCTATTCGACCTACCTTGCAATTCCCATCAAATTAATTTATGCTTTACTACCTTCCATCTACAACAGCTGGATCTACATCAGTTGGAAACCGGGTCCAGCGTCCCATGTCCCTGCAGTCCTCCCCCACTCAAAAATTGCCGGAAAAACTTATTTTCTGACCCAATTCTTGTCTTTCTAGCTATGCTACCTACCTTTTCAATTCCATCGAATTAATTTATGCTTTACTATCTTCCATCTACAACAGCTGGAAACTGAGTCCAGCGTCCCATGTCCCTGCAGTCCTCCCCCACTCAAAATTACCAAATAAGTTGACTTATTAATTAGTATCACCATCCTCCGTCTTTCTGACGAGTTTCCTAAGGTTTCATGACTCCAATTGCTGAAAAGGACCATGCTTACTTTTATCTCTCCTATTTTCCCCTGACATAGCCAAAGATCATCAAAGTCCTTTCGCAGGCATCCTTTTTTCGATTCATCTAATTCTGCCCCCGATCTCGTCTGTTCCTCCTTCCATTCTGCTCTGGTTTCAGTCTCTACCATTAGTTTTAATTCCTTCCGTTTCTCCGGACATGTGATGATCCTATTTCCCAGAGTCTGACTGCATCTGGCTTTCCATATAATCCACAGCCCTGTTCTTCTAAGCAAATCTAGCATGTTTCCTTTGTCTGACAAAGAGTGTTCTGATCTGTTCTTAGCTGTTAGTATGAAGAAAATATCCTTTGCAAGTTGCTGATCGGCCAGGTCTGTCCGTGATGTATTGACCTTTAGCCACAGTGTGTCTGCATGCCGACATTCCACAATACAATGAGTAAGGGATTCTTTGGCTCGTTGATCACACATTCGACAAAATCGGGTGTCCTCTGCGCAGTGACTTTCCTATCGGACCCAACCATTCATTAACCGGGAGTGTGTGATAACGCAAGAGCAACTGCGATCCTCTGACCTATTGCGGGGGCTTTTTTCTTTGTTTGTTTCTTATAACCGAAGCGTTCATTACTATAGCTGAAAAGCGGGTTTAGCGTCCCTTACATCAGTACGCGCTCCTGCGTTATGGCCAAGGAATCCTGAGACGGCGGTGTTGATTGCTCCTATGTGTAGGAGGATTAACCACTGCTGACCCCTGTTGTAGTTCCCCTTTGGTTACCCTCCTAGTCCTATAAAGCAGATGAATTGATTTCTCCCCTTCCTGGGAGAATTTACATCTGCCTAGAGCTAACTTTACCTATTCTTTTCTCATCTCCAAATATTTACCTTTTCACTTCCCCTACCTCCCCTATTCCACTCACCCTACCCTTCCTCTGCTTACCTTTACCTCTACCCCCCTTTTTTTAGATTACTGCTTTACTTATTCTCCTACCTCTGCGGTAGCGTTCTCTGCCTGTCCCTAGTTTTCCTACCCTCTCCTCTCCCTACTCTCTCCTTGCGCTCCAAACCCCGCAGTGCTATCCTTTTTATTTTGTTGTTTTCTGCCATCCTCAACGTCCCCATTGCTGCTGTGCCCTCCACTTTTAATTTTTCGGGAAAGGCACTTGCAAGGAATATGAGCGAGAGCGATAGACAGAAATCCAGATTGCAAAATCACGCTGTAGGCCAGATAGTCATGTACCAAACAGACAGCACAATGCACCAAGATACTGTCCAAATAAGAGCAATATAATGAACTCAAATGTCAATGCCGACGCTCTCTGGCCGCACCAACATAGTATCCAATGTCACTTCGACTGATTGGCGCCCAGCGCCCAGCCTACACTACTCAGCCTATCAAGCCTATCTACGTTCATGCAACAAGATCACATCGAAGTTGAAGACCAATGCACGTGATGTCATCACCAATGCAGACCGCCAGCATACACCTGGTGCATTTCTATCTCCTCCCCTCATCGCCCCTGACTCCTCTCTCTCTGCGCCTCCTGCCGGAAGACCACCATTGCCATCACGGCGCCTGCGCCCAGCAGCCCGGCTATGGCCATCGTGCACCCGCTGCCACAGCAGCGCCCCTGTCTCACATCTGCGCCCGTGCGCGCGTCTGACCCGCAGCGCTAGCGCAGCTGTTTCGTGCGCTAACGCAGCAGCGTGGCCGCATTGCCCACTCAGGCCAGAATCCCCTGCCCCTGGGCACTCACTTTCCTTCATGGAAAGTGTGCCCTGCCGCTGGCTGGTCTGGACCTGGCGCGTAGGGGCCCAGTAGCTTCAGGTTGGCCCAAAGTATCTGCGCCCAGGCCCAGTTCCAGATACTGGCCTGGGCCCCGTGCAGTTAGGCACATCGAGGTAGCCCACAAGGCTGTTGGGTGCGATCTCATTGGCTTGTGGCATGCTGGAGCTGCTTTCTCATTGGTCCGTGGCCGCTACGTGACTTGTCGGCCTCTGAATGCGTGTGCCCAGGACCTCAACCGAATGAGCCCTGGGCTCAACTGTACGACGCAGCTGCTGTTTCTGGAATGAGCCAGGGAAGGCTCACGTTGCTCTGTAACCAACTGGCGTGCTGCAACTGTCTGGTACCCCACGGACGAAAAGCTCAGGCCCCTAGCAAGCCTCGTGCCCGCTTTAAGTGAAGGCGGGCCTGCATATCCACGTGAGGCCTATTTTCGCCATTTTTCGTACGTGGGGTACCAGACAGTTGCAGCACGCCAGTTGGTATCATGGAGTTTGTATTGTCCTTTGAGAGATGGACATGGATGTTCCACCATAGCTAGGGATGCAACCAAGTGAGGAGCGAGGTTATGGCTGCAAAGAGTATCTTTGAGTGCTGGCAGTAAGGGGGAGTAATCGGACATTGATTCTGGCACTTCCTTTTCTTTTTTTCTTCCAAAAGGTCGACGGCCTTTAGATATCTTCATTGAACAGACCAGCCCCAGATGACCGTGAATGATTTTATTATGTTCAACTGGTTGCATCTGGATTTGAACTTGGATCTGTATGTCCACGGTTCATGCGTGTACCAACTGGGCTAGGCGTGTCGGTGGCATTTTTTTTTTTTTTTTTCAGCCACATAAAAGAACTTCAGTCAATCATGATTATACAATAAAAGAGTTCAACTGTTACATACTCCAATGAGTATGGGCAGAACCAAGAATCAACCAATATAGGATGAGTTTTTATGCAGTGGAAGGCTTATAACGAACTGACTCACATAGACTGACTCACATAGACTGACTCACATAGACTGACCTACATGGCATCACTCCACACACATACAATCATGAGATGGTGGGGTCTGGGTCATGCATAGAAGATACCCAGATCCCGTACACACAT